CCTCTCCCTCCCCCTCCCCTCTGGGCCCACCCCAGCACCATGCCTCTCATTCCAGATGTGCCCCTTCAGTTTAGGGCTCAACCTTCCCAGCCGGCTGGCGTGACCTAAGCCAGCCCATGGTGGCAGGGCTGCGGGAACAGTCCTTACGACTTCCTGACCCCAGAGGTGGCTACGATGCCCAGTATACACAGAGACAGGAAAAGTGTGTTTAGAAAAGCAGAGAACAGGGGTGCTGTCCAGAAGGCTGGGCCGCGGGAACACTGGTGCGGGGTGCTGCTGACCCTGGCAGACACAGCTACTGGGCAGTTGGCTTCCTGCGTCCGTCCACGAGGCTGCTGAGCGGGCCCTGGAGGGAAACATCCCGTCCCGGAGCCGCAGTCACAGGGGGGACTCTGCCCCATCATTGCATCCAGCTGTTTACAGCCCAGGCCCCTCGCAGCGTGGAGTGCATTAGGCGAAACAAGCTCCGCTCTCCCAGAGCAGCTACTAGCAAAGTGACCACCCAGAGAGCGGGAGAGTGGGGCCAGCCTTTCTCGCGCTCTCCGGGGGGCCCAGGGCTTCCAAAAGCCACTCATTTCAAGGAGACAAACCAGGCGGGACAAAATTGCTTGTTTTAGTTCATCAAAATGTGTGTCGCATCCTTCCTACAAAGAATTCAAAGGCCTCTTGGCTCTTAGTAATTGGCAGCCATTCACCATCAGGACATCTAGAGGCAGCGGGTGGTGTGGACGGAGGGCCCGGAGCGCAGCACTTGACGGATTATTAAAAAGGAAAGAGGCGCAGAGCGGGCTCGCCATCTGAAAGCAAAGTTGGTAACAGGCAGTCCAAGCGGGTCCTGCTCAGAGAGCCCAGGACCCTCTCCCACCTCCGGCCATGACTGTGCACCTGCCCCAGCGGCTGATGCCAGACTTCCCTGCTCAGAGCTCACAGACCCCTCCGCAGTGTTCCCCCAGCCTTAGGTGTCTGCCCCTGAGCCCGCCCTGCACCCGGGTTTGGCACTGAGCTAAGCCAATTAGACTCAACTCCGTCCAAACACCACTGATGGCTGGAGAAATGACTGGACACAAGGTAACGTAATACAGTGAGGAGTGGGGTAGAATAGATATACCTGGCCATGTGCAGAGATAGATAGATAGATAGATAGATAGATAGATAGATAGATGATAGATGATAGATAGATAGATAGATAGATAGATAGATAGATAATGATAAATGTAGATAGATAGATAGATAGATAGATAGATAGATGATAGATGATAAATGATAGATAGATAGATAGATAGATAGATAGATAGATAGATAGATGATAGATGATAAATGATAGATAGATAGATGATAGATAGATAGACAGATAGATAAATAATAGGTAGAGAGACAGATAGATGATAGAGAAATGAGGGATGAAAGAGAGGGAGGGGGGAGGTGGGAGAGAGAGAGAGAGAGAGAGAGAGAGAACTGTCTTGAATCATACAGGCTCTCTGGGCAGTGTGCCCGGTGGTGTGTGTCCTTATAAAAACCCGTTGTGGCTTAAGTGAGTCTCAGTTCCTTGGTTCCTTGAACCCAAGACAACCCACGGTGTCCCTACTGGTCCTGCTCATATGGGAAGAGCAGAGGCGTGGGAGCCGGAAGTTTTCCTTGCAGTTGATGTCGGGCTCTTGGTTCCGGCCCGTCCCAGGCTCTGAAGATTCTCTTGCTCCTTTTGAAGGACACATCCTTAAAGCAAGTCTCCCAACAGCCTCCCGGTTTCTGCTATTGTGTTTGTTACGTAAATAGGAAAATAATGCCCATCTTAGGGCGGTGATGGTAAACGGACTTTCCTCTTCGAGAAGAAATTGTAGAGGGTGATCTATGTCATGCTTCAGTTTTTCATTCATTCAGCGAGCACCTACTTGGCTGGGAGAATCCAGGTGGCCCGTTCCAGCTGGAAAGGATGGTGGCCCGGGAAGCTCTGTTAGAGGAGGTAGCTCTGAGTCAGTGCACAGAGAGCGTGCGAGCAGGTGCCAATCCGGGAGGCCAGCATGGAGGCGCAGAGCAGCACGGTGCCTTCCGGTGCAGGGACGGAAGCCAGCTCTGTAGCCCCAGGAGGGGACTCAGTGGGAAGAACATGGGCTGACATGTAGGAGGGAAGCGGGAGGTGGGTGAGATGACAAAGACCCTTGGGGACCATGTCAGGGAGTCGGGTCTTACTTGGAGGCATTGGGACACTGTTACCGACGTTCAAACATTGGAAATGTGTTTTAGGGAGACTCTTCCAGCAGCACTTTTGAGGGGCTGAGAGGGTGGAGGTGAGAACACGCGAGGAGACCATTCCCAGCTCCTGGGGAGGTGACGGGGTGCACAGGGCCTTGGAGTCTGTATGCTTAGAGGACTGAGCACGACGTGTTTTGCTCGGCTGAGTCGTATTCTGATGACTGTGCCCTGTTACAGGTGTGGTCTGGCTGGTGGCGGTCATCGTCGGAGCCCCCATGTGGCACGTGCAGCGGCTCGAGGTGGGTTCGGGGCTGGGGCTGATACTGATACTATGACAATGTCCTGCCCTCTTGATTGAAATCCTTTCCTTCCTGCAAGAGATTTCAGCGAATCTGCGTGATCGCAATGATTTCACTGGCGGTTTTCCAACCGGACTCAAATAACACGTGTTCAGATTTCCCCGCTGTTTTACCTCGCTCTTCCTTGACCTTCCGTGGGTCAGACTGGCCAGGGTCAGTGTCTGCATATTCCTGCAGCTGGACGCGGCTCGCCGAGGGTCCTGCGTGGCCAGTCAGGTCGTGAGTGTCCGGGGGTCACTCCAAATATTTTTATTTTAAAGTCACATAAAAAAATTGTGATCGATTATCTTCTTATTAGTTGATTCTCTGTCCTAAGTCCTTTCTCACCTGTCTTCTATTCAGTGACAAATTGCAGTTTGAATTGGAAACGTGGGGGGATTGTCTTATCCAGCCTCTTGGTCAGCTGGGCCCCGCCTTGCCTGGGGAGTCACAGAGGGGGCGGGGCCCTGCTGGTTTCCAGTGGCCCCACCCACTGGGGGCGTGTCCAGCACAGACAGTGGTCTTCAAACCTAGGTGGGGGTCGCCCAGGACTCCCTGAGACAGTGTTTAAACGGTGCGTCCTTCTGTGCTTTTGAAATCAACACAGCATGCGAGGCGAGGTCCACCAGCTAGAGTGTCAGATGTGCCTCAGACAAGAGTCCACTTAAAACCTGGTGTTATTTTGGGGGTCGCCCAGGACTCCCTGAGACAGTGTTTAAACTGTGCATCCTTTTGTGCTTTTGAAATCAACACAGCATGCGACGTCCACCAGCAGGGTGTCAGATGTGCCTCAGACAAGGGTCCACTTAAAACCTGGCGTTATTTATTTATTTTTATTTTTTAAATTTTAATCAAGTTGGTATGCAATCTTATATTGGGTATATTAGTCTCAGGTGTACAATATAGGGATTTTTAGACCCTATAATGTGATCACCCCCTGACTCTAGTGTCATCTTCATCCTGTGCACTTATCACTATATTGTTGACTCTGTTCCCCTTCCCCTGCTCACCCCACTCTCCCCTCCCTTCTGGTAACCACCCTGTGGTCTCTGTTTCTATGAGTATGGTTATGTTTTATTTTGTTTTTAGATCTCACATATACGTGAAATCACATGGTATTTGTCTTTGCCTAGTATTATTTCCCTTAGCATAATATCCTCTATATCCATCCATGTTGTCACAGATGGCAAGATTTCATTCTTTTTTATGGCTGAGTAGTACTCCATTGTACACATATACCCCATCTTCTTTTAAAAAATATATCTTTATTGATTTCACAGAGGAAGGGAGAGAGAGATAGAAACCTCAATGATCAGAGAGAATCATTGATCGGTTGCCTACTGCATGCCCCCTAATGGGGATGAAGCCCGCAACACGGGCATGTGCTCTGATTGGGAATTGAACCGTGACCTCCTGGCTCACAGGTCAACGCTCAACCACTGAGCCACGCTGGCCAGGCCACCTCAGCTTCTTTATCCACTCAATCTATCGATGCACACCTATGCTGCTTCCCTACCTTGGCTATTGTAGAGAATGCCACAATGAACGGAGGGCTGCGGATAAATCAGTGTTCTCATTGTGTGTTGCTTTTGTGTGTGTGTGTGTGTGTGTGTGTGTGTGTTTGTTTTTTGAATAAATACCAGAAGTGCAATTGCTGGGTCATAGGGTAATTTTATTTTAGTAGCTTGAGGAATCGCCATCCTGCTTCCCACGGTGGCTGCACCAGTCGGCACTCCCCCCAGCAGTGCACGAGGGCTCCCTTCGCTCCACATCCTCCCCAGCACGTGTGTCTGTGGACTTCCTGATGGTAGCCACTCTGCCAGGTGTGAGGTGGCATCTCACTGTGGGTTTGACTTGCCTTTCCCTGCTGATTAGTGCCATTGAGCCTCTTTCCCTAGGTCTGCTGGCATCTGTATGTCCTCTTTGGAGAAATGCCTTTTCACGTCCACTGTCCATTTCTCGACCGGATTGTTATTGTTTTGTGATTGAGTTGTGTGAGTTTACTCTCTGTTTTGTAGACCAACCCCTTATTGGACATACCGTTTGTGAATAAGCTCTCCCAGTCCGTCAGCGGTCTTTTCACTTTGTTGGTGGTTTCCTTCGCTGAGCAAAAGCTTTTCAGTCTGATGCAGTTCCATTTGATGGTTTATTTTTATTCTGTTCTCTTGCTTGAGGGGATGTGTCCAAAAAGATATCACTCAGACGGACCTCAGATAGTTACTTGCTGTGCTTTCTTCTCGGAGATTTATGCTTTCAGCCCTTAGGCCTTGCACGGAACCTGTAGCCCGTTGGGAGTTTATTTTGTAGATGATGTGAGAGAATGGCTCCGTTTTGCTTTTCTGCATGTCTCTGTCTGGGAGCATGCGGCTTGATTCTCGACCTAAGTGGATGCTGAGTGAGCGAGGCTCCAACACGCGGGCAGGAAGCCGGCTCCTTCCATTCCCTGCTACCTGGTGGGATGCAGGACGAAGCCTGGCGCGGGCCTGGCACTCCTCCGGTCACCTCACCGCCAGGACAGTGCTAGTTTCTCGCTAACATGTCCAACCTGGTGTTACGACCCCATCAGCCCGAATCCTCGTGGGTCAGCAACGTCTCCCTCCCCGGTGGGAGCTGCTGTGGGTCTAGCATCCGGCCCGCTGGAGGGGGGGTGCCCATCCCCTTCTTCTCCGCCTCCTCTCCTGTCCCTCTCTCCTGGGGGCCTCGGAGCAGAGTGGGGACAGGAGGGCAGGTGCCCCTGAGTGTGACTGTGGCCTGTGACTGAGCCTTTACTTCATGGATGTCTCCAAGAGAAAACTGCCCAGGTTCCGGCTGCTGCTGCCGCTCCGGTGGCTGCTCCGGGAGCATGGGCTCTGGCACTCTGTGACCCGCACCCTCTCTAAGGCCTGTTCTCTGTCAGGAAACCCGCCGGAGGGGCCCCCGTTCAGAAATGGCCCAACCCATTCCCACCGTGGGGTCCATTTCCTGCCCACAGAACTCTAGGAGATTTGTCTGCTTTTAGAATACAATTATTTTAGCCAGTTCGGCTCGGTGGATAGAGCATCGGCCTGCAGACCAAAGGGTCCCGGGTTCGATTCTGGTGCCTGGCGCTCCTCCGGTCACCTCACCACCAGGACAGTGCTAGTTTGTCGCTAACATGTCCAGCCCGGTGTCACGACCCCATCAGCCCGAATCCTCGGTGCGTCGGCAACGTCTCCCTCCCCGGTGGGAGCTGCTGTGGGTCTAGCATCCGGCCCGCTGGAGGGGGGGTGCCCATCCCCTTCTTCTCCGCCTCCTCTCCTGTCCCTCTCTCCTGGGGGCCTCGGAGCAGAGTGGGGACAGGAGGGCAGGTGCCCCTGAGTGTGACTGTGGCCTGTGACCGAGCCTTTACTTCATGGATGTCTTCAAGAGAAAACTGCCCAGGTTCCGGCTGCTGCTCCTGCTCTGGTGGCTGCTCCGGGAGCATGGGCTCCAGCACTCTGTGACCCGCACCCTCTCCGAGGCCTGTTCTCCAGCAAGAAACCCGCAGGAGGGGCCCCGTTCAGAAATGACCCAACCCATTCCCACCGTGGGGTCCATTTCTGCCCACAGAACTCTAGGAGATTTGTCTGCTTTTAGAATACAATTATTTTAGCCAGTTCGGCTCGGTGGATAGAGCATCGGCCTGCAGACCAAAGGGTCCCGGGTTTGATTCTGGTCAAGGGCATGTACTTGGTTGCAGGCTCCTGGTCGGGGTGCGTGCGGGAGACTAACAATGTGTTTCTCTCACATGGATGTTTCTCTCTGTCTTCCCTTCCCTCTTCCACTCTCCCTAAAAATCAATGGGAAAATGTCCTTGGGTGAGGATTAACAAAAATAAATATAATTATTGTAGCACATGCTCCAAATAGATTTTAAATCTACGGAACTGATTTAGTTTATAGAAAATACACATAATTCAAGTGACAAAGCCAGTGCTTGCTGCCGGGTAGAGCAGCCAAATCAGATTTGCTTTCTGTCAGGAGAAAGTATGAGTTCATTCTTCAAAGCAAATAAACGTATTTATATGCATCCCACGGCCTCCTTCTGGCACCTACATTCTATCAGAGCCAGTGTGTGCAAGCCTGACTGAGGCTGGCACTGCCACCTGGTGCCATAAAGCACCACTGACCCCTTTGCTTTCTTCTTGCAGGCTCTCTCCCAGGGCTGACATATAGGACAACGAGAGGCCCGGTGCATGAAATCTGTGCACTCGGGTAGGGGGGTCCTTCAGCCCAACCTGCACCCTCTCACAGTCCAGGAGCCCTCGGGGGATGTCCGACTGCCGGCTTAGGTGGGGAGTGGGCCTAAGCCGTCAGTCAGACATCCTCAGTGCTGCCCTGGAGGTGGAAGAGACTCCCGCCACTGCCCCTGTGCTCGCCAGCCAGCTGAGCGGTGCTCCCCCTGTGGGAGTGCACAGACCACCAGGGGGCAGCTCCTGTGTTGAGCGTCTGCCCCCTGGTGGTCAGTGCTCATCATAGCAACTGGTCGTTCGGCCAGTGCACACCTGTCCCTGTCGACCGGCCATCGGTGTTGCGCTAGGACATGCCAGTGAGCAGTCCCCGTGGTTGGCCCTGCTGGCGCCATCTGCATGGAGTCAGGTGGATTTCATTTTGATGTCCTGTTCCCGGGGAGTCTGGATCTTGAAATTACTCTTCACTGAGTGTTTTCATTCCAGTTAGTTGTGTCTGTAAATAACGCCTAGATCAGAGCGTGAAGTTTATCTTTGGTGAATATACAACCCCCCTGCCGGATCTTGAAATTACTCTTCACTGAGTGTTTTCATTCCCAGTTAGTTGTGTCTGTAAATAACACCTAGATCAGAGCGTGAAGTTTATCTTTGGTGAGTATACAACCCCCCCGCTTCAATTGGCATTGAAGAGTGGAGATAAAATTTGCTGGGGATGGAGGCAGAAGGACGTCTAAGACCTAAGTATGTTCCATCTGGGAAGTGCCAGAGTGGGTAAAATGACAGTCGCTTTGATAAATTCCCTAACGTTTATTCCTATTGTCCAGAGAAATGACTTGAATACAGGCTAAATGTTTACTTTGTCTCTTATTAGCATTGCTCTTTTTCTTAATGTTGTTACTAGTAATACATCTGAACTGATGAGATGAGTATGTCAGAAATGGTATTAATAAACAGACATTGACTTTCTATAAAATACACCCCTCAAAGGCTTATCACTGAGTCTGAATATTTTTAGATCAGCAACAGTTTGGATCCCACTTTCTCATTCACCTCAGAATCTCTTGTTTTATTGAATTTATTGGGGTGACATTGTAACTGGTATTTTCATTCATATGTCGGTCATTGAAGTGTTCTTGTACCCCATTGAAAACTTATGACCAGAGTGTAAAGAGTGGAGAGAGAAAACAAATTAAAAAAAAGAGTGGAGAGAGATAGAAAGCGAACAGGCTTTGGACCTCAATTCCACTTAACATAGAAAAGAAAGCATTAAAACGCAGAAGAATTTAAGCAGCGACGTGGAAAAAAAAACAACCCACAGTTCAGAACGAAAGGACAATCAAATCGTATGTCGTTGGAGGCACGTCCCCATGGTAACCACATGAGGGTCTGCACCCCCGTGGTCCCTGGCTGCTGGCTCTCCTGACCCAGCCATTCTCATCCCAAAGGTTAAGTACGACTTCCTCTACGAAAAGCAGCACGTCTGCTGCTTGGAGGAGTGGAGCAGCCCCGTGCACCAGAAGGTCTACACCACCTTCATCCTCGTCATCCTCTTCCTCCTGCCGCTGCTGGTGATGCTCAGCCTGTACAGTAAGATCGGCTACGAACTCTGGATCCACAAGAGAGTGGGGGACAGCTCGGTGCTTCGGACCATCCATGGAAACGAGATGTCAAAAATCGTCAGGTTGGTTTAGTTCTCCTCAGGTTCAAATTTTTATTAGTTGGCTGCCTCCTGCATGGCCTGCACTGGGAATCGAGCCCACAACCCGGGCATGTGCCCTGACCGGGAATCGAACCGTGACCTCCTGGTTCATAGGTGGACGTCCAACCACTGAACCACGTCAGCTGGGCTCAAATGTTTTTAATTAGTTGTGCTGGACGGGACGGTTACCGGGGACCTCAGAATTCTGGGGTGCGTTTGTTAGTGCCATTTGTCCTTCGCGTGTAGGGATGAGCTCTCTGTACACTTTTGAGGGTCCATGTGTGACAGGAAGGAAGAGCAAGCTCACCAGCCCCCACATCCACCCTCTCAGATGGAAGCTTCCTCAGGGTTTAGACAGTGTCTGTTCCGTCGATATGTCAGCAGGACGAGGTGGGAGAGCTGTGGACTCCCCTGCCTGCCACTCACAGCCCAGAAGTCTCCTTCCTCCCGCCCCGCCTTCCTCACAGGTCCCAGGGAGCACGGAGTCCGTCCCCCCTGCCTCCCGCCCAGGCACAACGCTAAAATATGTGAGATGATACTTAGGAAAATCCTTGAGAAGCCAGAACGTGCTATTTTCTTTAATTTTTATTGATATCTTTTATCTTTACCAAAGGGCATTGCTTTTTGATTGCATTCATTAGCGGAAAATTTAAAATGAAACATATGGTTCATTTTACAATCGACACGGAATGGCCATTAAAAACAAAAATAAACAAAACCTGGTAAGAAGTCCAGTGGTTTGAGGAGACTTTTGCATTGCTTCGCGTGCGCAGCGCCCCCTGGTGCCCAGTTTGTAGGAAGACATCCTCCCTCAGTGCAGGAGATGCTGAGCAGCTTGGAACTTCCGCCGACTCAGCTCCCCCCCCTCCTGGGAGGAAAGGGCTGCCACACGTTGAAATGAGAAATAATGACTATGAACTTGTATAGATTTAAAGCACCAGGCGAATGAGCCGATTGCTTGCACCTGCTTGTCTCCTTTACAGGAGTCATGGAGAAAACTAGTTTGAAATCCTAGGATGTCACTTAGAGATATAATAAAGGTTTACATTTTAATTATATCTTAGGGCTGCCCATATTTCATAAATATTGATATTTTCCTATCACAGGGGCGAGTGGCCTTCAAGGTCAAAGAATAAGAGCTTAGGCACGGAAGTCAGACTGCCTAAATTTAAACCCAAGGAGCCCTTATTCCTTTAAATCCCTTACTGGCCAGTCTGACCTTGCAGGTTACTTGACCTTCGAGGGGCCCCGTTTCTGCATCCGTCAAGGCTTGCTGGGAAGACTGATGACATCATCCGTGCCCAGCAGCCTGCTGGAGGCCAGCCCCCTCTGCGCACACGTCCGAGGGTGTTTAGAATGTGAGAGATGTGGGGGTAGGGTGATGGCGACGGGAAGGTGGAATGATGGTTAGCAGTCTGGGCTCCGGCTTGATTTACGAGCTTTGCCATCGATCCGGCACGCTTGCCAGGGAGAGGTTAACCGACACTGTGTCCCCGTGGGCCCAGGAAGAAGAAGCGGGCTGTGGCCATGATGGTGACCGTGGTGGCCCTCTTCGCCGCGTGCTGGGCTCCGTTCCACGTCGTGCACATGCTGGTGGAATACAGTGAGTGTGGCCCTCCCCTGACGGAGCCCTGCTGCGTCTCCCGCCGGAATGCACAACGCTCCTGGGAAATGTGTCGCTATGCGCGGGGCCAATCAAGTACCGAATGTTGAATAGGTTTCTTTTGTGTTTGCAAGGCGACTAGACCCGTGGTCGGCAAACCTCGGCTCTCGAGCCACATGCGGCTCTTTGGCCCCTTCAGTGTGGCTCTTCCACAAAATACCACGTGCGGGCGCGCATGTACAGTACGATTGAAACTTCGTGGCCCATGCGCAGAAGTCGGTTTTCGGCCTGGGCGAGTCTATTTTGAAGAAGTGGCGTTAGAAGAAGTGGGGGTACGTTCGCTGAGGTCGACCCCTCAGATTGAGGACGTTTTTAGCAAAGGCCAGCTTAGGAGGACCCTGATTAAGTTAATAACAATGTACCTACCTATATAGTTTAAGTTTAAAAAATTTGGCTCTCAAAAGAAATTTCAATCGTTGTACTGTTGATATTTGGCTCTGTTGACTAATGAGTTTGCCGACCACTGGACTAGACCATTCGATGGCAGAGAATTCTGTCTGAGCGCAACCACGTCTTTAATAATTACAGACGGGCCAGGAACGCTCTGACACCCTCCCTCCCTGCTGTGCCTTCTGCGCCCCCGAGTCACACAGGTGTCGGGAGAGGAGGCAGCCTCTGTCCCCAGCGAGAGCCCTGCCCCGAGCCCCATGAACTCAGTAACCCATGCGTTCCCGCCCTTCGGAAGTCTCCCCATGACCTCCGACGTGGCGCGGTTCTCGGATGACCGCGTTTCTGTAACAGGGAACGTTTGCGGAGCAACCACGGCTCCCAGGGTAGCTGCAGCTTGCAGTCCGGTTGGATGCATGAGCCCCACGTCTGCTGGGCCCGGCGTGGCGGTCAGCCTGGCTGCTCTGGGAATGAAGGCCCCTCACGGGGCTGCGTTCTGCAGACACCCCTGCTCCCCCCAGAGCGACCTGGAGCAGTTCCCACACCTTCAGCCACTCGCCCAAGTGCGAACCGAGGTTCCTTGCTGTCTTAAGTCATTTCCCCATAAAAATCTGACCTTAAACATGAACACAAAGACGGATGAGACGCAGAGGTTTTGTTTTCGGGTCCTTAAGACAAATGCGCGTTCTCAATGTGCCTCTGTTCCAGGCAGCTTCGAGGAGGAGCATGATGAGGTCACCATCAAGATGACTTTTGCCGTCGTGCAATTCCTGGGATTCGCCAACACCATCTGTAACCCCATCATTTACGCCTTTATGAACGAGAACTTCAGAAAGAACTTCCTGGCCGCCCTGTGCTGCTGTGTGGTGAGGGAAACCCTGTCCCCCGCATGGCGGCGGCATGGGCCCTCGGGGACGGCCATGACGCAGAAGCGAGCCGCGCTGGGCCGGAGGGAGGACGCCGTGGAGGAGACCAAGGTCGAGGCGTTCAGCCACGGCCACATCGAGGTCAAGCTGTGCGACCTGCCCGAGGAGACACGGCGGCCCCGGTGACCGCCCCCCTCTCATCCTGGGCCGGAGCAGCTGCGTCAGGGTCAGGCCGTGGCGCACATGGCAACAGCGCCCTCATCGTTAATGTCACATCTCCATCATCGGAAGGGAAGTGACTGTGAGCACAGGCCAGAGACTTCTCTCACTGGTAGAGTGATGAAAAGGAGTCACCTTAAGTCATTTCCCCATAAAAATCTGACCTTAAACATGAACACACAGTTTTGAGAAATGAGTGACCCGTCCTGGGATCATTCGTGTGGATTTAAAGTCTCGTACACGCGTGGCTGGTAGTCTCCCCTCCAGTCAACGTGATGTGGCTTTTCTGTGTTGTTGAAACTGGATGAGAAAATAAAAATGGCATCTTCCTTCTTGTCGAGCATGTAATTCCAGGGCCCCTTGAACTTGAAGCTGGGGGACGCTGCTGGCGGCCAGTCTGCCCAATGATGATAATGGCGAGGAAGACGGGGAGCAGCAGGCGGCAGGTGAGTGATGTAGAGGCAGACACCTGGGCTTGAGCTGCTGCTGCTTCTTTTTTTTAATCTTCACCCAAGGATGTTTTTCCATGATTTTAGAGAGAGTGGAAGAGAGAGGGAAAGACATCAAGGAACATCGATGTGAGAGAAACACATCGATTGGTTGCCTCCTGCACACTCCCTGACCAGGGCCCGGGTGGGGAGGAGCCTGCAACCAAGGTACGTGCCTTGACAGGAATCGAACCTGGGACCCTGCGGTTCGCAGGCTGATGCTCTATCTATCTGCTGAGCCAGTCCGGCCTGGGCTGGGCTTGAGCTTCTGGTGGTCCCACCAGTCACCACCGCTGTGCCCATGAGCGTGCCCCGTAACCCCCACGCTCACTCCTTCCTGTGGGAACAGTGGCTGCGAGCAGATGGCCGTGTTCTGAGCTCTGTCCCAGCCCCTGGCCCTCAGGCCTCCTTCTGCCCCTCTCCCTTTCTGAGGCTGGTCCCGGCCCTGTCCGACTACCCACTCACGCCCACATTGTAACGGGTTCTCCACTCGCAAGGAGAAGGAGTCTCTTCTGAGGGTGACATGCGTAGGCCAGGCTACCCTGAATGTTTGCATTGTGAGCCCTTCGCTTTACCAGCGGGATTTAAGGCTTCTGGCTCCAGGAGGGGCTGTTGGCGCAGGTAGCAGACGAGAGAGAATCAACCCCGAGCCCATGGCATTCACTGCGCCCATGGCATTCACTGCGCCCATGACGGCCCTGCCAGAGGGGCAGGCAGGCCCGCAGGGCACCCCACTCTGGGCCTCACCTACATCTCCCTTCACCTCAACTCCCACTTCTCGGCTCCTCCTCTGCCTCCCAGATGAGCGCTCCCTCCTCACTGAGCCCCAGCCCGCACAGCCGCAGGTTCCCCCTTGGGTTCCCCCCGGGGAGGCCTGGGAACCAGAGTACACGGGCCGCTGGCGTCTTTCTCGAGACAGACATTTCATTGTCTGTGGCGACGTGAGCATGAATGACAGGAAGCAAAGGGGGAAGAGTGTGGTTTCAGGAAGGCGTCCGCAGGACACGGGGCGACCAAGTGGCCCAGCTGGCGCAGGGCGGTGCACGGAGCCGCGAGGGTGGGTGGCTGGTGCACACTGAAAGGCCTCATCCTGGCCTCGTGCTGGGCGCCCTGCAATGTCTGGGCACCTGCAGCCAGGATTATCTCCAACTCACGAAGCCGTCAGAGATGAGCCGGACTCACTGATGTTGGTTATTCTCACTCAATCGGCAAATTCCGACGCCTTTTCCTAAGCGCGAGGCACATGCTTGCCCTGGGACTCAGGGAAGAGCACGTGAGCCGCGCAGTTAGAGGCCTGTCCTTCCAGGGTGGGCGCTGCAGCCCTGCAGCCGGGCCTGAGCCCTGAGCGATCAGGGAAGGATGTGAGTGCTTCCCGCCAGACTCCTGGCAGCCGGGAGAACGCTACCTTCCTCACTCACATTGTGTTAATGCCGCTTCAGAGACTAAAGCAGCAGCAGCCGTTCCTTCCCATTGGACATGGCTCTTTGCTCTTTGCTGTGAAAGTTGGGAAGAGGAGGTCCAGTCCATCGCTGAGGAACGCCTACTCTCAGCCGGAGAAGCGAGTCCTGAGTGGGGAGCACAGCTGTGAGGCCACAGGGAGTCCCCACCTTCGCAAAGGGGCCCTGGGACAGCCTCCTCTCTCCCTCCCCTGAGTCTCTCCAGCCCCTTGGTCTCGCACCCTGGGATCTGCTCTTTCCCCCTTTTCTCTCTCTTCATTCCATCCGGTTTCCCCTCATCGGGTGCGTGGAGTGAGAACGGAAAAGGCTTGTGGATCCAGGAGGGGGGCTTGAGCGGGGGCGGGGGGGCAACACCGAGCCTTCCTCTTGCCGGCCTTTGGGCAAAAAGACAAAACCCTGAAAGGACGTGTTTCGCACACCTGCAAGCCCTTTGCTTCACGATGGATCACGGGGCCACACTCGCTCTGTGTCTGCAGAATGGCCCTCCCTTCCCGCCTGTGGGTCAGGACACCAGCCTCAGGCACTCCAGGCCGCCTCCGGCTATTCTAAGTCCCAAACAACTTTAAAAAGAAGGGCCAAGTCGCAGGGCTATGTGCCTTATTTAAAGACTTATTATGAATGACAAGGATCAAGAGAGCTTGGCACTGGCCTGAGGATAGATGTAAATGCGCAAGAATAGAGACGCCAGAAGTAGAAACACACGTATGAAGCAGGGGGTCCCCCAGGGGTGAGGACGACGGAGCCCAACGCGCTGGGGCGTCTACATGCACGGCTCCGGGGACCAGGTTCAGAGACACAGATCCAAGTTTATTGAGGAAGTACAGCCATATATAAGGGGATAAGCAGCCAATGCAATAGGGACACGCTTGCTATGTTATCCAATGGGCATGAGGGTCGGGGCTAAGAGTAGGTGGCTCCTGGAGATTTGTCAGGTGGGCGTTGCCACTTCCTGGTATGCCAAGGAAGTCTGTTCGCTGGAGTGTACTCACAGCGTTGCTTCGGCCGCAGCACTGAGATAGATCTCCTGAGCTCTTCCCACACACGTATATGGTCAAGGTGGCAACACGATTCAGTGGGAAAGGCAACTCTTTCAACCAAATGGCTCTGGGACAACGGGATGTCCCAGTACCCAAACCAGGCCCTTTATCCCTCTACTGCTTTTTAAAAAATATATTTTTATTGATTCCAGAGAGGAAGGGAGAGGGAGAGAGAGAGAGAAACATCAATGATGAGAGAGGATCATCAATTGACTGCCTCCTGCTTACCCCCAACCAGGGATCAAGGCCGAAACCCGGGCATGTGCCCTGATGGGGAAGTGAACCGTGACCTCCTGGTTCATAGGTGGATGCTCAACCACTGAGCCACGCCGGCTGAGCTACCCTTCTACTGCTTGTAGAAATCACTCCACCTGGGTTTCTGGAGCGAGCCCATGCCACCTGCAGCAAGGAACTACTCGCCGCCAAAATGTAGCCCCTGTAGCTACTGGGCGCCAGGGGAGACCACGTGCCACACCAACCAGTGGCCAAACTGCCTGGCCTGAGCTGGGCACTGTCCCATCCCCCGAGTCACAGGCTGAGGGGTCCCAGTTCATAATCAAATGGACCAGCTAGCGTAGGTCTAGAAGGTACAGGTGAGCGCACAGACAGGTGTCACCTTCCCCCCTGTCACTCGTCACCCTCGCAGGGTCTCCTTTCTGGCTCGTGCCCACGTCTCATGTGGATGGGTCATCAGTTGCTGGGAGAGGTGCGCTCCGTCTCCTGCTGTGCTCCACGTGTGTCCGCTTCCTCCACCCGCCAGTCAGCCTGCTGATGGGCTGCGGCTACGTTACAGGTGCCGCACACAGGACGCGTGTCTTTCTTGGTGAGCGGCCAGTTTACAATTATGAAATGTTCCTTTCTATCTCTAGTAGCTACAGGAAGGTTTTCAAGGAAAAAAGCATTATTAATAGACCTTCTTTAAATATACTTAATAAAGTTAAAAATGATGCGCACCCCTGTTCATCAATAGAAACAATAACTCAAAAATAGAAAAACAAACAAACCCGAGTGCCCAGCCACAGGAATGGCCAAATCATTTACATTACGTCCATATCATCTTTATTTTCAAAAGGTGTTTGTTGCCATGTGTGGCAGGCGAAGTGATGCTGACAAAATCCACTTAAAGGAACTAGAAAAGAACAAAGACCAAAATTCATAGAAGGAAGGAAATAATAAAGATCAAAACACAAGTAAATGAAACAGACAAAAAGACAATAGAAAAGATTGCTGAAGCTCAGAGCTGGCACTTTGAAAAGATAAACAAAATTGTTGAAACTTTAGCTAGACTCAATAAGAAAAAAAGAGAGAAGACCAAATAAATAAAATCAGAAATGAAAGAGAAGTTACAACTTATACCAAAGAAATACAAAGGTCAATTATATGAGACTAGTATGAACAATTAAATGACAACAAATTGAAAAATCTGGAAGGAATGAATAAATTCCTAGAAACACACAATTTTCCATGACTGAATCGTGATAAAATAGAAAACCTAAACAGACTGATCACTAGTAAGGAGATTGGATCAGTCATCAAAAACCTCTCAACAGACTGAAGTCTAGGACTAGAGGAATTCACAGGTGAATTCTACCAAACTTTCACAGAAAATTTAACACCTATCCTTCTCAAATTTTCCCCAAAATAGAAAAAGAGGAAAGACACCCAGACATATTTTATGAGGCCAGCATTACCCTGATACAAAAACCAGACAAGAACACTGAAATAGGAATTATAGGCCAACATCCCTGATGACCATGGATGCCAAAATCCCCAACACAACATTAGCAAACTGAATTCCACATGCATTGCAAGGATCACACACCATGATCGAGAGGGACTTACTCCTGGAATGCAAGGCTGGTTTAACATCTGCAGGTCAGTCAACCTGATACAGCACGTTAACAAAAATCATCTCAACACATAAAGAAAAAGCATCTGACAAAATTCAACATCCATTTACAATAAAAACTCTTAACAAAGTGTGTATAGAGGGAATATACCTCAACATAATAACAGCCATATGTGACAAACCCTCAGCTAACATCATACTCAGCAGTGAAAAGCTGCAAACTTTCCCCTTAAGATGAGAAGCAAGACAAGGATGCCCGCTTTTACCACTTTCATTCAGTATAATATTGAAAATCCTAACCAGAGCAATTAGACAGGAAAAAGAAACAGAGGCATCCAAATTAAAACGTAAAAAAGTAAAATTGTCACCATTTGCAGACATAATTTTATATGTAGAAAACCCTAAAGATACCATCAAAAGCTGTTAGAACTAATGAATGAATTCAGCAAAGTTGCAGGGTATAAAATTATTATACAAAAATATGTTGGATTTTTATATGCTGACA